AACTCGAAAAGACTAGTGCCCAAACAGTCGCCCAAGGCGCGGCCAGTACGCTTCTCAGATACTGCCGTCAGGCCCCCACCATCTCTGTATACATCCTGAGGAAGGAAGCATATGACCGTAGTTGCTAGAACAGCCAGTTGCTCAGCACAAACATGTCGTCACTGCACCTCACGCCCAGCATTATGTCGGCATATGCAGGTCTTTTCAATATTTTAAGACGGAGGGCAACTAAAATCACCACCAGTGGCTGAATGGGACATGCTTGGAGCTGATGATTAGAGAGACATCAGGTTATATGGTATCAGATAGGACAAAAAAAGTAGGCCCTGTGCTTCTTTTCCTGGAAGGGAGAAGGAATTAGAAAATCTTGCAAAAAAACAGCAAGGCGATTCGTTGCTTGCCGAAGTTCTTAGACGGGTGCCACTTGAGACTCACTGGTAGCATCAAGTGTGGGCATTGCATTCTTCTTTTTCTCCTTCTCTTTTTTTGTTGCTGTCATCAGGAATTCAGTGGGGGTGGATATGTCAGTCAGGTTCCCAACAAAGATGGTCCTTCTAGTACATCCCTTGTGCATTCCACTGAAGACCTTTTTTCTCTTCTTCTTCTTTTCCTACACACCTAATGCTAAGAGATGCAGAAGAGGAAAAGAGAGGAGAGAGGCAGACGTATCAGAAAGAAAAAGAAAAAAAGGCTTTAAAAACTACAGAATAGCAAAAGATGAGATTGAACTATACACTGGTATTTCCATTGTCTGTTAAGAGACAGAGGAAGAGAAAATGTACAAGTAGCGCTTCCTCTCTCTGTTCACGGTACTCACCGCCGATCGCTAACCCTCCCAGAGAAGCACCATTGTTTGCGAAACTAACCAGTTCCTCGTCACCCTTAGACACCGCAGCTTCCCGGTTCCTTCTTCTCATCCCTTAAACATCACCCCTCTTCTCCGCTCCCGGATGAAAACCATTGCCAGCTTTCTATACAGAAAGACGATTCTGTCTTTTTGCAGGAAAGAAAGTGGAGCATGCTAACCCTTCTGTTGGATCACTGCATGTGAATACAGAAAGACGGTTATATGCAAACTCAAGCCAACTGCAAAAGACGACGACAACCCTATACACCACCGATCGGTGCGTTTGATACTGACCAATAGCACTAGAGAAGCATTAATCAGCGTAATATAGTGACCAATAGCACTATAGAACAACTAATTAGCATACGTATGGGTTTCACAACTGCAACCAGTATCTGAGTACCACGGGTTATGTTGATCGCTATTTGGGAACCCTTAGCGACAACAAACATCTCATACCATAGCCCTTTGCTGCACGCCCCGTGGGCGCACGAGCTTGACCTCATTGACCGAGGTAGAAATACAGCACCCGCAACTCTTCTTCCATTCATTAGGTGAGAAAGCAGGGATTTGCAGGAGAGAGGTCTCTGTAGCAAAGAGGTGAGTGTAGTACTGCCGTAGACCTGCCGCCTTTTGAAAAATCCAACTAGCACCATACTACTATCGCAACAGACGGGAACAAAAGGGAAATGGCGAGGTTGGATAGTTGTGACAAAAAATCAAAAGGCATTCATTATACAACGGGCTGGAATTTTGCGCCAGCATGCACTTCAAACTCAGAATCACTAGAAAGCCTTCACCTGCTCTCCCATTGAATAAAGAAAAGAACACTGAAGCCAACAAATTGAAATGCAAGGCATGGGAAGTAAAAGAGGGGTTCTCACCTAGGATGCTCTCTGATAATACCAAAATTGAGTATGTTCAGAGGCCTCTCTCTCTCTCTCTCTCTCTCTCTCTCTCTCTCTCTCTCTCTCTCTCTCTCTCTCTCTCTCTCCCACTTTGCATGTGCATTTTTGTGGGTCCCTCTGTCTCTCGCCCCCATTTTGCATGTGCATTTTTGTGGGTCCCTCTCTCTCTCTCTCTCTCTCTCTCTCTCTCTCTCTCTCTCTCTCTCTCTCTCTC